AAGGCTTAGTGTGGTAAACTTACTAATATTCAATAATATCCAGTTCTGTTTTACTCTGGGTACACAAAGGAATTCACTTCTCTGCCCCCTTGAAGTTAGGCATGGCCAAGTGGCCAGCTCTGATAATGATAAAGTGGGTCGAAGTGTTACACTCAGGCTGAAATATCTAATTGCCAGTGCTAGAGAATCCAGCCTTCTCATTCCCGGCTGTGGCCTGCCCAGAGCCTCCTGCTGAGCCAGTGAGATGGTGGCAGCTGAAGCAAAGACCGCAGAGCCCCCTGCTGACCCACAGTGGAAATGAAGCATGAACAAGAAAGAACCCTTCCTTGTCAATGAGCTACTGAGATTTAGCAGGTTGAGTGAGATGGTGGCAGCTGAAGCAAAGACCGCAGAGCCCCCTGCTGACCCACAGTGGAAATGCAGCATGAACAAGAAAGAACCCTTCCTTGTCAATGAGCTACTGAGATTTAGCAGGTTGTTACGCCAGCACACCTAGTATAACCTACTGATACAGTTTGACAATCTTTTTCTGAATGAAATATGAAATTGAAGATAGTGCAAGGAGAGTGATTAATTGTCCAACACCAGCCACACAGGGAGATTCCATTCTGGAAGAAACACTGGATGTTCATTACTTAATTCTATCATTGTTTGTTTTTCCAAAAAAAACTTAAAGAAACTGCATTGACTGCATTAACACACTTGTGCTAATCATGTCAGATTACGGAAAGAATTACGTCACAATAACCGATTTTCTTGTTAGTTGTACTATCATCATAAGGTATTTTTATTGCAGCTTTTCCCACACACAAAGATTTATGACTTAGAGGGCTGGCCTGTGGCTCACTTGGGAGAGCATGGTGCTGACAATACCAAGTCAAGGGTTGAGATCCCCTTACCGGTCATCTTTTAGAGAAAGAAGAAAAAAACAAAAAAGATTTGTGACTTAGGTTTCCCACATAAAAACATCTGATTTGTTAATATTTAAAAATATTTAAAAAGGATAATCTCTTTTACGGCCCGACTATAGAAAAAGCAGCCTTCAAGTCTATACACAGAGACAGTGTTTGTCAATTTCACGGCCATTGTGACCTAGTGAAAGCCCATTCTATGACAGATTCGTTCAGTTGGCAAAAATACTTACCAAGTGCTCCCAGAAGGGTCATCATTCCCAAAAGCACTGAAAGAGCCATCTTCCCTTTGATAGAGAAGTTCTCTCTGGTAACCTGAAGGCACGAAAATGGACAGAAATTCAATGTAATCAACTTGCAATGATTGAAAGTTTCTAATCATTCTTCATATTGAGGAAATATGGACAGAGAAGGGGAAAGAAGAAGACATCCAACCAACCTCTAATAATGAGTACTTTCTATATTAAGTTCTGTAGGAAGTTTAAAATACCAGGACTTTTCAAGCATAATACAAAATTTAAGAAATGTGATATCCCCAATTAAAGTAAATTCAAAAGAATACTATGGCATGTATGGCACTTCTAACCACTCAGAAGCAAGCAAATTAAAGGTAGAGTTTTATTTAACTATCCAGTGTTCACCACAATGGTTTCAATGCTTAGTCATCTAAAATTGTTTGCTACCTAAGAAAAATACTATCAGGAGTATCATAATTAAAGTTTAAGGCCACAGTAAAAGTAAAAATACCTTTTATTTTTAGGACAGCAATAGAGAGGGGAAAATGTTAATCTGAGAAAATGGCTCTTTTTTTTTGGCCATGACCAACTGAGGTATACCAAAAGACCAACTGGTCTGTCTACCATACCACATTTCCACTAAAAAAGAAGAAAAAGTACGTGGTGGTGGTAATGAAGTATTGCTATAGAAGTAAATTGGGGAAAGGGTGAAGTCTCATATATTTGCTCTAATAAAAGCAGATGCTTCATATTTGCAAAGCAATGGTTGCTAATAAGTGGTTGCAAATAAAAGACAGATGTTTCATATTTGCAGAGTAATACAGACCAAAGATCTCAAAGTTTTGTGACTGAGAAATCATAGGCCAAACTCTATAGGATTCAGCAAACACCCACAGTAAAATAACTTGCTGCAAATGAAGTTAAAATAGCAATAATTTATGATTAAAAGGCAAGCATAAGCAGGAACATCTCCAGCTCAAGACATTATCAGTGACTCTCTGATAATACAGAATGCTCCCTGAAAATTACAGGATTCCACTATTCGCAGGTGAGGATGCACAGTATGAGCTTTGCAGCATGGCTACGGTACTCATCTGTAAAATACTGAATTTGATCCCCAGTAAATTCTAGTAATTAACAAATTTTACTTTACAAATACCATATTTTAGAAGTACCAATAACTACAAGTAATTATTCATAATTGCCTAACAAAACGTAAATTGCCTAACAAAACAGTACAGTAATTACATAGCCAACTTTTATTCAACACTGACCAGGTGTCAGAAACTGTTCAAAGCCCCTTGGAGGTATGAACGCAGGTAATTCTTACAATAACCCTATGATGTAGATGCTGTTATAATCCCCTTTTTACAGATGATAAAGCTGGTACTTAAAACATACAAACACCATGTGTAAGGTCACACAGCTGGTAAGGAGTGAAGCTAGGAATTAGCCAAGGTCTATCTGGATCCAAAACCATTGTCTCCTAGTAGTTCACAAAGCTGCTTCAATGATTAAACACGATAATACATAAAAAGTTCTTATTATAGTTCCTTTTACATGGCAAGTTCTCAATAAATAATAGGCATTAATCTCTAATGGTAGGAAAAGGCTTTCTAAGCACCATACGTGATAAAATAAAAAACTGATAAATCTGACGATAAGAAAAAACTGTAAACTTTTCCATGGTAAAACATATTATAAGTGAGATTAAAAAACAAATAACAAATAACAAATTAAAAGAAAATATTTGCAACATGTAATATAGACAAATAGCTAATACAAATAATATTAATATATTAATTTTATTTATATGTGTATATTCTATATACGCATATAAAGAACTTTTTAATTTTTTATTGAAAGGTATTGATTGTACATATGTATGGGATACAGTTATATTTCAATACATGTATACAATGTGTGATGATCAACCAGGGTAATTAGCATATTCATAATTGCAAAACTTGATCATTTCTTTGTGAGGTGAACATTTGATCTCCTCTCTTCTGTTTGTTTGGTAACATGCAATAAATTATTGTTAATTATAGATGCCTGTCTCAACTGTACACCAATAGAACTTATTTTTCCTATCTAGTGTATGTGTGTATGTATGTATTTTTTTTTATTGATTGATTGATTGATTGGGAGTGGGAGGTTTAGCTCCCACATATGAGTAAGAACATGCAGTATTTCTCTTCATGTGCCTGCCATATTTCACTTAACATAATTTTCTCCAAGCTCATCCATGCTGCTATGAATGGCAGAATTCCATTCTTTTTTATGGCTGAGTAGTATTCCATTTTGTATATGTACCATGTTTTCTTTAGCCAGTCATCCGATGATGGACATTTAGTTTGGTTCCATATCTTGGCTATTGTGAACAGAGCTGCAATAAACATGGGAGTGCAGGTATCTCTTCAACATGATGATTTCTTTACCTTTGGGTGTATACCCAGTAGTGGGATTGCCCGATCTTATATCAGTTCTATCTGTGGTTGTTTGAGAAACCTCCACACTGTTTTCCATAATGTACTAATTTACAATCCCACCAGCAAAGTATAAGGGTTCCCCCTTCTTCACATCCTCACCAGCATTTGTTATTCTCTGTCTTTTTTATAATAGCCAGTCTAACTGGGGTAAGATAATATCTCAATGTGGTTTTGATTTGCATTTCTCTCATTAGTGATGTTGAGCATTTTTTCATATGCCTTTTGGTCATTTGTATGTCTCTTTTGAGAAATGTCTTTTCAGCTCCTTTACCCATTTTAAATCAGATTATTTGTTTTTTTACTGCTGAGTTGTTTGAGTTCCTTGTGTACTCTGGATATTAGTCCCTTGTCAGATGCATACTTCACAGCTATTTTCTCCCATTCTGCATGTTTTCACTCTGTTGATTGTTTCCTTTGCTGTGCAAAAGCTCTTTAGTTTGATAAAATCCAATTTGTTTACTTTTGCTTTTGTTGCCTGTGCTTTTGAGGTCTTATTCATAAAATCTTTACCCAGTCCTACATCCCGAAGCATTTCCCCTGTGTTTCCTTCTAGAAGTTTTATAATCTCAGGACTTACATTTAAATCTTTAATCCATTTTGAGTTGATTTTGGAATATTGGTGAGAAATAGGAGTCTAGTTTCTTTCTTCTGCATGTGGAAATCCAGTTTTCCCAGCACTTTATTGAAGAGGCTGTCCTTTCCCCAATGTGTGTTCTCAGTACCTTTGTAAAAGATCAGTTGGCTGTAAATACATGGATTTATTTCTGTGTTCTATATTCTGTTCTGTTGGTCCATGTGTCTGTTTTTATGCCAGTACCATGCTGTTTTGGTTACTATGGCTTTGTATATTCTGAAAGCGGGTGGTGTAATGTCTTCCACTTTCTTCTTTTTACTCAGGATTGCTATGGCTGTCCAGGATCTTTTGTTGTTCCATACAAATGTTAGGATTGCTTTTTATATTTCTGTGGAGAATGTTATTGGTATTTAGATAGGGATTGCATTGAATCTATATGGTCATTTTCACATTAATTCTACCAATCCATGGAAACATGCATTGTCTTTCCATTTTTGTGTGTGTTCTCTTTAATTTCTCTCATCAGTGTTTTATAATTTTCTTTGTAGAGGTCTCTCACCTCCTTGATTAAATTTATTCCTAGGTACTTTATTTCGTTGCTAGCTACTGCAAATAGGATTGGTTTTTTTATTTCTTTTTCCACTAGTTCATCATTGATGTATAGAAACAGTACTGATTTTCGTATATTGATTTTATATTCTGCAACTTTAGTGAATTTGTTTATCAATTCTAAGAGACTTTTGGTGAAGTCTTTAGGTTCTTCTATTTATATAAGATCATATCATCTGCAAACGGGGACAATTTAACGTCCTCTTTTCCAGTTTAAATGCCCTTTATTCCTTTCTCTTCCCTAATTGTTCTGGCTAGAACTTCCAGTACTATGTCAAATAAGAGTGGTGAGAGTGGGCATCCTTGTTTTATTCCTGTTTTTAGAGTAAAAGCTTTTAACTTTTCCCCATTGAGGATAATGTTAGCTGTGTATTTTCATATATGGCTTTTATTGTGTTGAGATACTTTCCTTTTACACCTAATTTATGGAGAGCTTTTATCATGAAGAGATATTGAATTTTATCAAAAGCTTTTTCTGTTTCTATAGAGATGATCATATGGTTTTTGTCCTTTACTTTTATTGATGTGCTGTATCACATTTATTGATTTGTGTATGTTGAACCATCCTTGCATCCCTGGTATGAATCCCACTTGATCATGGTGTATAATATTTTTTACATGTTTATATTTAATATTATATATATACATATACAAAGAACTTTTTTAAATTTAAAGAAAAAGATTTTTTAAAGTCCTGTAGAAAAAAGTAAACAAAAGACAAGAACAGACAAGTCATAAAAGACAAAAATATAAAGATAGACTTTAATATGTGAAAAAATGTTCAACTTCCTAATAGGAGAAATGCAAATTAAACCTACACTGAGATACCATTTCTCACCCATCAGATTACCAAAGATTCAAAAGTTTGAACACTCATTCTGTTGAATGGGCTATGAGGAAAACAGTACTCATTCACTGCTAGAGGAAATTCAGAATGGTACACCTACTTACTATATGAAAGAATGTTTTGGGCCGGCCCTGTGGCTCACTCGGGAGAGTGCGGTGCTGATAACACCAAGGCCAAGGGTTCGGATCCCACATAGGGATGGCCGGTTGGCTCACTGGCTGAGCGTGGTGCTGACAACACCAAGTCAAGGGTTTAAGATCCCCTTACTGGTCATCTTTATAAAAATAATAATAATAATAATAAAATAAAGCTTATCTTTCCAAAGAGGCCAAGCCCTCACCACATTT